GAGAGAGAGAGAGAGCCGTGGGATAAAAATTGATCCGTCAGTGGCTGGCACGACGTGTAATTTAGTAATGAAGTCCATACCTCGTTCGAACGTGCGCACGGCAGTAAATCACGAGACATGGATTGGGGCTCGTCCCGTCCAGATGTGACCCAATGCTTTCCGCTAATTTGCTGTTCCCGCAGTGTGCGGTGGCCGTATTCTCTTCCTCGTCAGATTGCGCTGGTGCGAGAGCGAGCACCACGCTGCACCGGGAGCGGCCGGTCGGTTGGTTAGTAACCGCGTTTCTGCTTTTTGCCAACTATGTTTCCGACCGTTATTAGCGAAGGCGTGCTTATCAAGAAGCCCGTCTTCCCACGCTTTTCTAATGGGAATCGTCTATACGCGGGACGCGGGTAATTATGATCACATTGCTGATCGAGAAGCTATTCCGCTGACAGGATCATCATACACTCGCGACGCGAAGATTATTCTACGCGAATCGAATAGGTTCTCCTGAAATCTTGATCCGAACATTGCGTGTGACTCTGTTCTACATGTAATCCTGTACGAATTAAATTTACATTAAAAATAAATTCGTTTTTAAAAAAATTACGGATAATTCATTAATTAATATTGTCGATATAATATTGTCGATATAATACTATAATATTACTACAAATAACTTAACAGCGTTTGTAATATCGTAACGTCGGTGATCGTCTGTAGCCGATACGAATGTCTTATGTCCAGATGAAAATATTGAAATAGGAGTAACTTTGTACTATCAGAATATCAATGGACAATGGTAGGAGAGAAAAGTATGGTTATGCGTCTGCCTTTGGGGGTGGAGGGGAGGGAGGAGGGTCCGAGAGAAAGAGAGAGCACAATGGAATTATGCTCTATCGTATCTGGGCGGCTGCGACCGAACGCTATATGGGGAAAGTCTCGGCGACACACGCGTGTATATGCATACACGGGCGTGCAGCGTGCACGCGCGCAGCGACAGGACGACGGACGGCCGATATAGCATCGCCGGTATGTCGGATATGCTCGCTATGCCGGGACCATATTCTGGTTTTGATCCGTGCGCCAGATAAGATCGCCCTTTGTTACCGAGGCTCGTGCCTTCGGGACCCGAGAGAGAAACCAAACCACCACCGGTGTGCTTTTACCTATCCCGCGTTCTACTCTTCCCTTCGCCATTCGTCTCGGCCTTATCCGCGAATTCTCTTGCGAAAGGGACGCGGCACAGTTTTCATGGTGAAAGTAGGAGAAATTGCGAAAGTAACGGCTGATCGAGGATAGATTATTATCGTTTCTCAAAGTTACAGCCGTGACTTAGGAAGTAATAGAAAATTTTAAGCATTAAGAATTAGATGGGGCGATTATGAACATTGAAAGATCAGTCAGCAATACGTTAATCTTGATTCTGACGATGAAATGTAAAGATTAGATTTCTACATGATATCTTTTTCTTTCCAGTTTTATAAAAGTTGCTATTTAATTTGTATGGCTGAATTTGAATCTTTTGAGATGAATACATTAATATATATTATGTTGTAAGTATTTATATTAGTTTCATATAAAATTACTATTTCTTTCATCGTTAAAGTAATAATGGTAGATATTTAAATTTAGAGATCTGTTTTATGTACTCTACCAAATTTTATTTATTGGTATTCTTTTGACATGATATATTTTTATCGTAATTAATTATCTCATTATCTTATATTTTGTACTGTTTGTTTCAGTTCAGGTGGAATATTTTTAGAACCGAAAATTTCACCTGTCTTTCTATCTTCTTCCTTTTTCCGGGGAACAACCCGATCTGTCGCGGTAGGAAACTCGTTTGCGGTTAACTCGCCGCGGGAGTATCGACCATTCTTGGGTGGCGGCGGATCACGTCAGTGACTTTATCGGGACGCGTTAAACAGGCTGTACGTCCTATCACGTGTTAACCACCATGCTGATTCAATCGAATTAACCGCAGGACAATTCCCTGCTGCGAACGTAATGCGTTTGGAGACTCAGCACGTTTAGAATGTCATTCTCTTCTTAATCGTTTACGTTATATTTAGTATAAAACGTTCGTTATTTTTCATCATTTTGATATTACGTAAAGAATAGAATGCTTTTTATGTCGATATAACTTTGTTTGTAATTATTTTTAAACGGTGTAATTATTTTTAATTTTTAACTCTTTTGTTATGAGACATTTTTGTAACATATTTGTTTTGCCATGCTTTTAGCGCTGTAAATATAATTAAATCCTTATAAAATACACGTATATACGTTTTATTTGTATTAAAATGTTAAAATGCGTGCTGTTTAATTATCTATCGGACGAACAATTTTTCAACTTGTAAATTATTAATGCAATTCTGCGAATCACCTCATGTTCCATTTATCTTCCAGACATTCGGCTCACAAATTGCACCACGCAATTTTCGATCTATGACGCGTGTTGTTTGGCATTTTCGACTCGTACGTTTCGTTTTGTCGTCGTCGTTGTCGTTGTTGCGAGACTGGCAAGGGAAAAGCAGCGGCGGACTCAAGTCTAATAGGCCGTCTAATGGAAACGTGTTTTTGCAGGACAGCCGAGCGGCCGTCTTCGCCTGGGTGTTCAACGTTGTCTCTCATTGCAGTGATTAGCGGCGTCGTCGAACGCCGTGACAACAATATAAAATACCATCGGTCCCCGAAGGAAAAGCCATGCGTGTCCTATGCGCGTGTCCTATGCACACATTATGCTCTGTTTACTCGCGCATGCCCGCTTCGTAAGGCTCATATACGTTGGCTTAATGAATATGACACTAGCAGCTCTCTTTTTATCGATTCGAATACCACTAATAATTTCAGGGCGTAAGAATCCTAATTAACATGAAAATACGTTCTATCGATCCGCTGAGTAAATCTTCATTCCCATTCATCTCCACGTGTGTGTCTATTTGGTTTCAAACCGAGCTCCTTGCTGACCTAATGATTCGTCTAATGATGTAATAAAATTTGATTCGGTTTTATTGATTCCAAGATGATTCCTATTTTGAAATGTCTACGTAAACGGTGTTTTATACTACTCTTCCAACTAACATGAAAAAGAAAAAATATTTTTATCACATACAAACACATTCGTATATTTAAATTACAACTCACGTTTGGACTTAATGATATTAAAATATTTAAAAAATGATATTTAAAAATTTAAGATTTCTCAAAGTCTTTTAATAAATATATAAAATATAATATTATAT